AAAAGTAGGGAAGTCACACGCACCTTTAGACCTCCAGCTACTGTATCAGCAGATGGGGCCGGGGAGGCTGGGGCCGGCGGGAAAGAGGCCAGCTCTGAGCCGTCTTCTACCTCTGCCCCCTCCCCAGGTCAACAACCTCATCTGGCACGTGCGGTGTCTCGAGTGCTCGGTGTGTCGCACGTCGCTGAGGCAGCAGAACAGCTGCTACATCAAGAATAAGGAAATCTTCTGCAAGATGGACTACTTCAGGTAGGCTGCGGCCGCCGGCCAGCAGTGTCGTCGCAGGCAGGCCGCCCGGCGCGCGGAGGATGCCCGGGATGCCCGTGGTCTCTGGCGCTGGAGCCCGCCCGAGCGCACTCCCTGCGCGGCCCGCGGCCTCGGCCTGTCGGCTCTCCGCGCCCGGAACGAGGAGCTCCAGGCCGCGCGCTGGGGCCGGCACAGGTCGGGGCCCGGGGCCCGCCCTCCGGTTCCTGCGTTGCACTCGGTTTTGGTCGCGGCTCTGGCTCTGTCTCTGGTCTTGCAGTGTCTGGCTCCAGTTCCGACATCAAGCGCCTCGGTCGAGCCCTGACATCCTAGATTCTGGCCCCAGCCCGCTCAGATCCCAGCCGCAGTCTGCACCACCAGTGCACTCCAGCTCTGGGTTCCAACCCCACTCCGACTCCAGCAGTGCCGGCGTCTCTACCGGCCGACCCTGACCTGGGCTCCAGCCTCCTGCACCGGCTCTGCCCTTGGCTCCTCCTTGGGTCCCGTCTGGTGAAGCCCCAAGCGTTAGCCTCGCAGCAATCAGATCCTGTCCCATAGCCAAGCACCTCGCCCTAAACTCCAACCTCTCAGGCTCCGCCGCAACTCAGAGCCCCGCGCCGTTCCAGCGTCGCGTTTCCAGTCTGGGGTCCTGCCCGGGTCCCAGGCGCCTGTTTCAGCCTCCATTCCCTCATCCTCTCCGTCCAGAGCTTCAGCCTCTTCGGGGTCCACGCTCCGACTCTGAGCTGCTGCGACAGGAAGGGGAGAGGGAGGGAGTTGGGCCCAGCAACCAAGGCCCGGAGTAGGATTACCCTGGGCTGGGCTCTCCACCCTGCAGAGCCTCTTCCTTGCACCTCTCCACAGCTGCCAGGCTCCCCCTCCGCAGCATCGCTGCCTCTCTGCCTCCTGCACCGGCTCCTAAACAGGGCTCCTGCCTGACCTTGTCATGGAGTCGAGGTCAGGGGCACAGCAGGCCACAGGCCTGATACTGGTGGGAAGGGTGAACCTGACCTGAGGCCACGCCACCAGGCATGCGGAGGAGTCCGGAGAGTGGAGTGGGACTGGTTTCTGGAAGGGATGCTTGTTCCCAAGGGCTTTGTCAGGAAGTGGAGTAAGCTATTCCCCTATAACAGCCCCAAAACCCTCAGACATGCTTCTCACCCTTGCCTCTGCAGGGATCATGTCTTCAGTCTTTCTAGAAAGACCCCTGGCCCAGAAAACTCCTGAGAGTCAAGGAAAGTGGTGGAAGGTAATGCCTGCCGCCTTGCCTCTGGCTTTGAGTCTCCTGGCCCTTGAAAAGAGAGGATCTTGAGTCTAGGGTGAAGCTTGCAGTGTTTGGGGCTGGAGTACTCTGGGGAAACCATAAGAAGCCTGGTTTCAGAAGTGGATTCTTCTTTTGTGTATGGATGTGAAAGACTGTGCACCTGGGATGTGAATGGAGAGATGTGGGTCCACCAGGTGGCCTGGGACTCAGCATGCAAGGAGTGTCTGTGTGTCTTGTGTTGTCTGGATCTGTGCAGTGGCACTGGAGGAATGTGTCACTGAACAAGCTCAGGGGTATGAGGACAGCATGTGTACTCCTTTATAACAAGTATTTGTCTTAGTTTATGTGTGTCAAGAGTGTGTATCTCTGTGTGAATGTTGCGACTTTGTGTGTGTGTGTGTGTGTGTGTGTGCGCGCAAGGTAGTCGGGACAAGATTACATCTGGACAGGAACCCAGAGGTGACAGGGTGAAAATTCTGAAATCCCATAATTCCTACTCCACTTCTTCTCTGAGGGGGTCATTGAGGAGCCAAGGGTATGATCTGGATGTGGATTTGTGGATGTGGACTGCTACATGCGTGCGTCAGAGGGGGTTATCATTGTGTAGTGGGTATGTCTTTCTCCAGTGTTCCCTCTGACTATTGGCTGGCCAGGGCAGGAAGTAGAGGTTAAAGCCCCTGTCTTGCCACCTCCCTGTTCTATGCCTGCCTCCATTTGATTAAAAACAAAATAAAACAAAACAAACCAATAAGAAAAAAACTAAAACCAAGCCAACTGCTGTTTTAGGGGCTCATCACTAGCCAGGAACAGGGCTCCAGCCTGAGGAAACCAGCAGGATAATATCTCAACCTCTTTCTGCAGAGTAGGGCAGGGGGTAGACCCCTCTCCTGGCCGTCCTGGTGACGGTGGAGCTGGCAGCTTCCTCGCTGCTTCTCCAGCCTCACCTCATGCCCAGGTTGTACCGAGCCTCCTTGGATGCTGTGCTTTACTAGACTTTCAAGGATTCGTCAAAATTTAGATCCTGATCCCATTGTTCAGAGCCTCCACTGGCTCTGGAGTCCCGCGGCCCCCCCCCCCCCCCCCCGCCTCCCACTGCCGTGGGGTGGAGGATGGGAAGTATAGCTATTGTGGGGATAGGCAGTAATCGGGCTCTATCTGGCCAACAATGAATCACTGTGTGACCTTGGGCAAGTGACTACATCTCTCTGCCCTCTATCTCCTACTTCCAGGGTTGTCTGTCTGAGATGCCAAGGAGACCAGTATAAGGAGGAGGGCTCAGTAGTCTCCCTAAATGGCAGGTGCTATGGATGCCTCTATTATCTCCATTGTCCCCCTTGGCAGAGTGGATGCTAGGCACAGTAAATCCCCTGATGGCATTTCCTCTGGCAGTTTGAGGAGCAGGGTTTGCCTGGAGGGATGGGCCAGGCCATTTCTGGTCAGCAGGTTCTGAGTGTTAGTCCTTTTCCAGTGACAAAAGCCCCCAAAGCAAAACTAAAACAGATTTTGGGTTAGGAAAATGGACAGGATAAAAGCTCATATTCCCTGGGATGAGGGAAGACTTGTGGCTTTCCTAATCATTTCTACCCCAGCCAGGTCTCCCTGCAGGCATAACCCATCCCTGGCAGTCCCACCTGTAACAAAAATAATAAAGTCCACAAAAAGGGAAAGAAAAAGCTTCAGAGTGTCAGGCGGGGATTATTGTCTGCTCTCAGCAGCAGCCCAGGCTCTGGGTCGCTGCTGCAAAGGAGCTTTTCCTGGGGAAAGCATGAATGGTGGCATGGGAGGCAGAGCCCTCCCTCAAGATCTGGGGCTCAGAGAGAGGCCATGCACTGAGTTTCTTAGTCCTCTGTTTCCTGAAGACCAAGGTCAAGGATCTGGTGGGATGTAGACTGGAGCATTTTGCCCCAGGAGAGGCCAAAATCTCCCAATAGGGTAGGGAGAGGGAGGAAAGAGCCAAACCTCATGGAGGGGACACCAGGGGGCTTTCATGGTCCTCTGGTCTTATCCGTCAGGGAAGGGTTTCTCTTCTGTTCCATCCTTTATCTTGCCCCTCCTTGACACCATCCTGTAGATCCCCCATAGTCTCCCTTGGCAGAGCCTGGTGTTGCTGGCTCCAGAAGTTAGAAGTTAGGAAGGTCCCCCAAACTCAGCAAGGAGGGAGGCTGCAGAGCATAGGAGGATGCCCTTGGCAAGACTGCTGGGCCTCACTCCTTCAGTCTCTTCCAAAGAGGGATCCCATCAGCCCTGGTGGTTTCAATCAGATTCCAGGTAACCCTTACTCCCTGAGCCCTAGCAGGCCACCAGGGAAAATATGATACTGCTTTTAATTACTTTGCTTTTTGGGTTAAGACCACTTTTCTTTCTGTTTTCTTCCAAGAAGTGAAGAAAAGTCCTGCCGGGGGTGGGGGTGGTGGTGGTGGTGGCGGTGATGGAGTTCCTTTTTTGGCCCACTCATATCCCTAGTGCCCTCAGCAACCACAACCTTAGACAGCTTCCTCCCACCCACTGACCTGCAGCAGCTGCCCCCCAAACAGGGCACAAACTGATCTGCAGTGCCTCCTCTTTCGGTGCCCCCAGCATCATGCCCATTGTATGATTGGGGAGACTGATGTCATGAGGGAGAGGAAAGAGGAGCCCCCGGGGTCACTCAGTGAGAGAGTGTAAGAGGGGCTGGGCAGGGGAGAGGATACTGCTCACCAGAATGTATAGAGCTCTTCTCAAGCTCTATACATGATAGGAGGGGACCTGATGTCTTGAAAGGTGAGGTCATACAGCTACTAAGCGGCAGATCCTGGGTGAGGCTCCTGGCTGCCTGACTCCACCATCCCTGAGTCTAAACATTCAGGACTGTTTTATAGGTGAGATATGTCAGCAGCTGCTCTCTACAAGGTGAGGTCCATGGAATGGCAAAGACTTCTCTCTCCCTGCCCTGAGATTCCTTGCCCAGTTTCATTGGCTTCGCACAAGGAGAAGCCACTCTGTGCTCTGGTGTGTGACCTGGCTGGGTCCTAGAATCACTAGGACAGGAGGGACTCCTGGGGGGGGGGGGCTGTGACTAGATCAACTTTGCCAGGATCAGGTCGCCATGGTCCCTGACCCTCTTGCCTCTGGTGCTTGGGAATGGGGAGTAAAGGGTTAACTCCTGCTCCTGGCATTTGTATGGGTGGGGTTCAGAGAGTGTCCTGGGCTGGGCTGAAGGGCAGCAGGCCCAAGTTCCTGGTCCCGAGCTTGGCCCATGTGACTTAGGGCAAGCCCTCAGCTTTCTCTGGCCTTCCTCCTAGAACCCAAGCTCCCAACCACTGGGTCTAGCGGGAGAACCCCACCCCCTCCCCCAGAGCGAGGGTCCCCTGGGAGGCTCAGAGCTGGGAAGCCAGAGGCCCCCCACTGCGGCAGAGGTGGGGGAGGGGGTCCAGCGGCTGCCAGCTGTTGGGGGACAGATGCTGGGGGAGCGGAGAGAGTTCTGGGGAGGGGCCTCCGACTGGGATCTCCAAGGAGCTCCAAGGAGCGGGGCGTTTTAACCTCATAATTGCTGGTTCTGTTTTTTCTGGATTCTTCTCCTAAGAGTTTGCCTAGAAAGAAAGGAACAGAGGGAATAGGAGGGGCTCCACCACCAATCCACCTTGTTGGCTTCTTAGAATTTCTCTAATGCAGTCAAGTGAGTGTCTTGGACGCAAAATATGTGAATTTGAGTTTGAGTTTCTGCACTGGCTCTCCAGCTTCCTAACTAACATTGGCCTTTCCATTTGTAGCTTCGATTAAGCTTCTGGTATGGTAATAAGGGGGAACGGAGAGGTAGTGAAACTCCAAAAGGCTCTTTCGTTGAGGTTCATTCCTCCAACAAATAATGAACACCAACTGGGTATCCAGAGGAAGTAGGCCAGGAGAGTGAGCTCGACCTGGTGGAGCACGCACAGCTCCCTCCGCACAACCACTAGTACCCAGATGTCTCTATTCCCTACTGGGGAAGAGAGGGCAAGGAGATGCATGGTGGCCACCCCGCTCCTTTCAGCTGCTGCCAGGATGCGTGGCATATGACGGATACCTCTCCAAGCCCAAAGCCTGTCGGTTTTTTTGCGCCTTTACCCCACGGTGCACACCAGGACCCAGGGAGGGACGTGCACAAGGCTGGGGGTGGAAGGGCAGTAACCGCGCCCCTAATCCCTTTGGCGCTCCCTCCGCAGCTCCCGAACACCCCATTCTTGAAGTTTCGTTGTCTCGCGCCTATTTCGCTGCTTCCGGAATCCGGCGGCTCGGGCCTCGAAGCCCGCCTGGGAAGGAGTCTATCGGTTTGTCAGAGAGCCTCGATCGTAAGCCTCCTCATGCTCCCTTGTTTGGGTCACTGACCCCTGCCCTGGGTGGGGGATACATTTCTGAAGCGGCCGGCAAACCTATCCAAAACTGCGTAATGACCCCCTCACCCTCATCCCAGGATCCATCACAAAGGTGATTTCGTTGACTGGGCCGAACTGCGGGGAGCGCGGGGAGATCCTGGGTCTGGGAACAGCTCTTGTCATTTGGGGTGCCACGTGGAGGGAGAGCAAGTCGGTGAGAGATCACTCGCGGGTCCGCTTGGCAGCAAGGCGCGCACGATGCACTGTGTAGGCGCAGAAGGCGCCGGGGCGTCCCGGACTCGTGCAGTGGGAAGATCAGGGCCGTGAGGGGTCTTGGACTCATCTCCGGTGAAAGACGAGGAATCCGGCACAGCTAAGCGTGAGGATCAGGGGTGGTGTACTCTGGCGCGGAACACGGGCGGCGCTCGGCGCCCAGAGCACAGGTTGGAGACGCAGCCGCTCATCCCGCCTCTGAAGGCCGGGACCTTCCCTTCCCCGCTCTCCCCTCTCCCTGGGAGCACTCCTCGCCTTCCTGAGTCTGCTGGGCCTCAGGCCCTATGCGTGGGACTTTGCAAGGACCCGTGGCTGGGAGCAGGGACACCACGGGGGCAGATCGGGCCGGTTACCAGTTAATACACCTGGGATCCAGCTCTTATCAACTCTCGTCCTGCGGCTTCCGCAGGTTCTAGGTTCCTTTCGCACCTCAGAAGGGACCTCGACCCCAAGCCCCACGCTCTTTGTGGTCTTGGGCAAGTCACTTGTCCACTGCGAACCTCCCATTCCACGGCTGCAAAATGGGTGCCGGAGTCTCCATCTCACGGGGTTGCGCGGAGCCGAGGGTGTGCAGTGAAGACGCTGCGCCCCGGGAGCTGGCGCGCCCTACCTGCTCCGCGCTCGGCTGCCGCTCCCTCCCTCCGAGTCCGCGTACGACCGGCCGGGCCGCGGCACTCCGGGGCTGCTCCTCCGCGAGAGTGGGCAAGACTGGGCTGGGCGATCCCCTTTACTGAGCGATAGGGAAAGAGACCACGGGCTTCGCTAGGCTGTCCCCTCGGGAAGCCGAGTTTCCGAGGTCCGGAACCGCCTGAGCGTAGGGGGCGGTGGACCAGCAGAGGCGCGCAGCGCGGCCTCCCTGAACAACCCGCGCCGCCAGCGACTGGCTTCCCTTGCGCTCCTGGTCAGAGGCAGGGGCGTTGGCGTTCGTCTGGAGCCGGGCGGCCGGGCCTCCGCGCTCCCGCACTCGGCTCAACCCAAGGGGGTTTATTCAGTTGACACTTGGTTGCCTTTGCCAAAGCAGGCGAGGCTGTAACCAGAGCGCGTTTGCTAGGCTGGTCTTTGCACACACTCACAGGCATTTCCGAGCCCTCCTCTGGGTGGAAGTGTGCGGGCCGGTGGATTGCAGAGGCACATCTTCTTGGTCCGCTCCCAGGAACGCAATGGAACACAGCGGGTGGGAGGGAGAGCCAAAGAATCCGATGGCCGGACGGTCACTGCCAGCCTGGTGCAGGGACTGAGGGACTCTGCAGGGAGGGGTGTGTGTGTGTGTGTGTGTGTGTGTGTGTGTGTGTGTGTGTGTGTGAAGAGCACACAGTCTGTGCAAAGGCCTGGGCTGGGAAGGTGCTTCAGAGGGGGGCATAGAGATCTGGCACTGACCTTAGATATTAGCTGCCTGGGACTCCTGCTTGCGAGTGGGATGGGGAAAGTTAGGGAGGAGATGAGTCTAAGAGATTGTGGTTTGCTGGGTATTGTAAACGCCAAGGATCTTGGACCAGATCCTGAGGGTAGAGTGGAATCAGCAAAGGATTTTAAGCAGGGCAGGACCAGATTCACCACGAATGCTGGAAACTGCTGGGGCCACTGTGTGGAGGAATGGTTGGTGGCTGGGGTGGCACTGGAAACAGGGAGAGCAGGGCATATACTGGCCTAGGAGAACAGCAAGTGGCACTAGACAGGGGAGGATTCCCAAAGATACTTAGGGAAAAGAACCAAATGCCAGATGACTGGTTAGATGTGGGGTGGAGAGGAAGGAGCGCATGATTTAGGTTTCTAAGCTTGAGGGGCTGGATGAGTGGCGGCATCATTCCCTGAAATAGAGTGTGCACAGACTGAGGGTTGGGACAGGGTCATGGGATGAGTAATCTACTTAAAGAACAAAATTTCCCTGGTGCTCAGAGGTCAGGCTTTGCCTTGACTTCTGCAACAGGGTTAACCAAACTCAGCTGCTTCCTGGAGGGGTTCCCAATTTGCTAGTGGAGGCATCCACACCCAAATAGCCACACTGTAAGTGGGGAGAGAGATGGGGGAAAAGGCCCAACAAGGAAGGCTTATGGGGGAGGGGACATTTCATCCGGGTCTTTTGTTTATTTGTCTTTGTAACATTTACTGCTAGAATGTCCTGGGGCTCTGGAGTTGAGAGTCTGGGACTGCCTGGTACTTAATAGATTGAAAAGTACTAAGCAGTAGTCATTGCTGTTGTCACGGAGCTCAGCTCATGGCAGGGAAAGTGAGAACTCTGAGGGGTTAAACAATTTGCCCAAGGGCACAGAGCCAGCAAATGCATATCCGTCTATGCTTCCAAGAAACTCTGAGCATGTCTACAGCTGGGGTACAGTTTGTTCATCTTTTTTTTAAAAGATTTTATTTATTTATTTATGGAAGAGAGAGAGAGAGAGAGAGAGAGAGAGAGAGAGAGAGAGAGGCAGAGACACAGGCAGAGGGAGAAGCAGGCTCCATGCAGGAAGCCTGACATGGGATTTGATACCCGGTCTCCAGGATCAGGCCCTGGGCTGGAGGCAGTGCTAAACCACTGAGCCACCCGGACTGCCACCCATCTTGGGTTTCTATCCTTGCAAGCTATGTGACCTTGTGCAGGTTACTTTAACTCTCTGGTCCCCATTTTCCTCATCTGCAAAATGAAGATTAATTGAGATAATCAGAATAAAACACTTAGAGTCTTTCTGGGCATGTGGTAAGTACTCAAAAACTTGCATGTTATTGTATTATTATATTTTCCCAGCACTTAAGATACATTTTCATGAACAGATTCATTACATACAAATATAAGGGATCATTGTAGAAAATTTGGAAAACTCAGAAAAGCGCCAAGAAGAAAATAAAAACCACCCACTAGCTCAGCTTCAGATGAGCTGGTGCCTGCAGAGGTGTGGAGTATGGGGTGGATCCAGGCAAAGAGAACTGTATGGGTGCGTAAAGGCCAGGAGGCAGGGTGCTGGCAGGCCACTGGGATTTGGTGGGGGGAAGGGGTAGCCTGTCTGAGCCTTGCCACCCCCCTTTCCTGTCCCGGTGTCCCACAGCCGATTTGGGACCAAGTGTGCACGGTGCGGTCGACAGATCTATGCCAGCGATTGGGTGCGGCGGGCACGCGGCAATGCCTATCATCTGGCCTGCTTCGCTTGCTTTTCATGCAAGCGCCAGCTGTCCACGGGCGAGGAGTTTGGCCTGGTGGAGGAGAAGGTGCTGTGCCGCATCCACTACGACACCATGATCGAGAACCTCAAGAGAGCTGCTGAGAACGGTACCCAACCCGCCCCACCCAGCACCCTGCCACACCTCTGTGCCCAGCCCTCTCCCACCCCACCCCAGCACCAGGCACTGACCGCACTCCTCTAGGAGCAGGCACTCCCTTTATCACTCGGAGCCTGCGTAGGTGTGGGGCTGTGCATGGAGCATGCACTTTGGGCTCCATTCTTTGCTTGGAAGTAGGAAGTCGGTCTGCCTCTCCAACTGTTTCCTCATCTGTAAAATGGAGTTAATGATAAGACACCTTCTCAAAGATAGATGAGCTGATGTCTTGTAAAGCCAGGAGGCGCTCAATGAACCCTAGAGATGATTCTCATAATGGGGGCAGCTGGCTCCACTTTGGCTAGCTCTGGTTGGCCTGAGGACTGATCCCCTTTGGCTGCCTGGAATTGGCCGTAGGCCAGTCCTGGAGAGATAATTCGACTCTGTTCTCCCAACTCAAATGCCAGCAGCTCCAAGCTAGAGGCTTGGGGGTGGGGGTTTCATCCTGGACTGTAAGGAAAAAGGCCTTTGAGTCTGGAGATATGAGCTCCAATTTTGCTTCTGGTATGCTGTGCTGACATATGGGGTTTCCTTTCTTCTCTGGGCCTGTTTCCCCATCTGTGCAAGATAGATGGTCAACTAGAAAGATCCCTAAATCTCTTCTGGCTCCAATACCTTGTTTCCCCAAGACACACAGACCAGCAGACAGGGTTCATATTTTGCAGGGACTGTGAAGGCTGAGTCACAGTTGGGTTGGCGGCTAGAAAGGGGTAGGAGTGGAGGTTGGATGAGGGCAGAGTCAAGGATCCTTTCCATAATATTCCTGTCTGGGTCTTTGGAAGCTGCTAACTTCTCTGTAATGTGCATTATTTTGTGTCATCCTTACAAAAACCCTGAGAAGTAGCTGGTGTGTCCCCATTTTACAGATGAGGAAACAGGCAGAGGTTATCTGCAGTATGTGATTTGCCAAAGGTTACATACTGGCAGGATAGCTTGACTCCAAAGCCCAGGCTTTTAACCACCATACAATACCACCCCATTCCCAAGCTCCAGGGACCCTCAATCAGACCTCATTAAACAAGGGAGGCTGCTGAGATGTGGCTGCTCCTCTAAGTTTCATTTTCTCTTTGAAAAAGATGGCACATCAATCCTTGTCCTGCCTGCTCACCTTTGGGACATTAATAACACAAAGTATTTGTCCCATCTTCAGGGCCTCTCCGGAGGTATCTGGACCACCCTGCCTCAATTTCTAGCCTGGGAACTAGTCAGGAATTCCCTGAGAGTTCCAGCCCAAGGCCATCACTTTTTCCTGCCAGGATCAGGATTAAGTAGCCTAGGTGGGAAGCAAGTAAGGCTGGTGGTGTAGGAAGTTACCTGCAGTGGTGAGCAAGTCAGTAGTGGCACTGGGATGGAATCCCAGAAGTCAGGGCTCCCCTATACCATGGCTCATCAGTGACCCTAGGGTCCTTCCATATCTAGACCAATCAGGACCACCCCTAGCTACAGCCTTGCCAGTTACAACTCTTGCTCTCACATCTAGGCCAACCCCAGACTCCTATCACGCGGGGGAGCTTGAAGGCCTGGGACTTCAGAACTCCTTTACTGAGCAGCCCTCAGTTTGGATTACTGTTTTACATTTATCTATTTATTTGTTATTTTTTAAATCTTTTTTTTAAATTTTTGTTTATTCATGATAGTCACAGAGAGAGAGAGAGAGAGGCAGAGACATAGACAGAGGGAGAAGCAGGCTCCATGCACCGGGAGCCCGACGTGGGACTCGATCCCGGGTCCCCAGGATCGCGCCCTGGGCCAAAGGCAGGCGCCAAACCGCTGCGCCACCCAGGGATCCCCTATTTATTTGTTATTTTTAAAATTTTAAAATTCAAGTCCCATGCCTAACATGGGACTTCAACTCAAGACCCCAAGATTAAGAGTCACATGCTCTACCAACCAAGGGGAGCCAGGCTCCCCTACTGTTTTACCTTTATTTTTTTAATTTTTTTAAATTTATTATTTATGATAGTCACACACAGAGAGAGAGGCAGAGACACAGGCAGAGGGAGAAGCAGGCTCCATGCACCGGGAGCCTGGCGTGGGATTCGATCCCGGGTCTCCAGGATCACGCCCTGGGCCAAAGGCAGGAGCCAAACCGCTGCGCCACCCAGGGATCCCTGTTTTACCTTTAAACTGAAACACACACCCATCCATCATAGAAATTTTAGAAAAGATGGTTAAGCAAAAAGAAGAAAATAAAGATCACTCTAAACGTCACTACCTCTCATATTTTGGTGTCTATCTTCCCAGATTTTTTTTCTCTGTATATATGGTGGCATATTAGTTTGGTTCGCCCCCAACATAGTGTTTTTCCCAATTAAAAACAAATACAACTAATTGTGAACAGTGGTGGAATTACTGGTCATTTTTATTTTCTTCTTTGTGCTTATCTGTATTTTCTGAGTTTTTGATAAGGAGCATGTATGACCTAGAAAAAATGAGTTATTCAAAATAAAACGGGATTGTATTTAGTGTGATTATAAAAGTAATATAAGCAGGAAGAGAAAGGCTAACATATACTCCAGTTAACAAAATTAAATTTAGGGAAATAAAGTGACATGATCGTTGCAAAACCCTCAAAAGTAGGGCTTTGCAACAATCATGCAATATTTCAAAAAATTGAAAATAGAGTCTCCCTAATTGTACTCCTCAGAAGTAACCACTGCTAACACCTTGGAGTATATCGTTTCAACCTTTTTGCTTCCATACATTTTTATAAAGTTAGGATCACAGTTCTGTCACCTGCTAGCACCTTACCTTCACCAGCCTTTGGTTTTTCCAATTCAGCTAAGAGGGACTCCAGTTTGGCGCCAGACAGCTGTAAGCCACTAGGCACGAGCATGGTCCTGGGCAAAGATTTTTCTTTGAGCCTCAGTTTCTTTCCTCTGCTGTAAAGTAGGGCTGTGAGACAGCCACAAAGGACACACCAAAAGAGCAGTGTCTGGTACTGAGCAAACGCCCAGAAATGACAGCCCCTTTTCTAAAAGAGCTCAGGGACTAGGACAGGACCCTGGGATCCCCGCTCCGAGCCAATTCCGCTCCTGACCCTTCCAGGGACCAGCTGCCCCCACCCCCGTCCTTTCCAGGATGCCACTAGAAGAGATGGGGACGCGTGGTCAGCCACTTCTGTCACCCCCAGGGAACGGCCTCACGCTGGAGGGGGCAGTGCCCTCGGAACAGGACAGTCAGCCCAAACCGGCCAAGCGCGCGCGGACGTCCTTCACCGCAGAGCAGTTGCAGGTACCGGGCGGCTGGCGGCCAGGGGTGTGGGCGGGCCCCCAGGTGGGCGTGGCCGAGAGGCCCCTGGCTCCGCCCCCTGTCGGACCCGCGGGGGGCGGGGAGGGACCGCCGCTCCCGGGGGCGTGGCCTCCGGGCCGGATCCTCTGATTGGGCCGGGTCTGGGAGGCCTCGGCGGGTTCCGGCTGCCCTGCCCCCTTGGCTCCCCGTAGGTGATGCAGGCGCAGTTCGCGCAGGACAACAACCCGGACGCACAGACGCTGCAGAAGCTCGCGGACATGACGGGCCTCAGCCGGAGGGTCATCCAGGTGGGGCCGGGGGGCGGGGCTTCGGTCTGGGGCGGGGCCGGGGGCGGGGCCTCCAGCGAGCGCGGGGCTGCGGGCGAGGGGCTCGGGGCTCGGGGGCCGGCGGCCGGCGTGGGGCGCACGTGCCGCCCTCCCGCGGGAGGCGACGAGGCAGCCCCGCCTGGGGCGTCCCGGCGGCGCGTGGGCTCTGCCGCAGGCTGAGGCTGCCGAGGCTGTCGTTGCAGGTGTGGTTCCAAAACTGCCGGGCGCGTCATAAAAAGCACACACCGCAGCATCCCGTGCCGCCCTCCGGGGCGCCGCCGTCCCGCCTCCCTTCCGCCCTGCCCGAGGACATCCACTACTCTCCGTTCAGCAGCCCCGAGCGGGCGCGCATGGTCACCCTGCACGGCTACATTGAGAGTGAGTGACCGAGAGACCGACCGCGACACCTGGGCGGCCCGGCCGGCGCGGGGAGGGGGCCAGGGGCGCGGAGGGGCGCGCGGGAGCCGCAGGCGTCAGCACGTGGGGTCTGAGGTGCCGCGCACCTAGAAGTTTGCGGGCAGGGGCTGAGTTCCCACTCTCTGCCTTAGTGAGCCGGGGCCGTTCATAGAGAAAAGCCATTCGGCCATTCGAAAGATACTTTCCAAGTACCCACTGTGTGCCGGGGCTCAGGGACCAGGGAAAGAACAGGATGGGCAAAATCTTTGCCCGGGTGGAACCTACGTTCTAGTGGAGAGACAACACAGCACGATGACCAGACGGACGAGAGCATGGTTTATTTATTTATTTGTTTGTTTGTAAAGATTTTCTTTATTTATTCACGAGGGACACACGGAGACAGAGAGAGAGAGAGAGAGAGAAGCAGAGACCCAGGCAGAGGGAGAAGCAGGCTCCATGCAGTCCCCCGATGTGGGACTCCATCCCCAGGCCCCAGGATCTCGCTCTGGGCTGAAGGCAGGTGCTCAACCGCTGAGCCACCAGGGCATCCCGACAGCATGGCTTACTGGTGATGATTGCTATCAGAAAGGAACTGGATTCGAGCTTGTGGAGATGCTGCCCCTCAGCAAGCTGAGACTGGAAGGATGGTTAAGAATTAGTGAGATTCATGGATTGGGGAGGTAGGAGTGCAGGGCAGCAGAGGAGCTGCATGCAGGCAGGCCATAGCTCTGGAAGCATTGTGGCATGGGTGCATTTAGGGTTGTTGAAGAAGGCAGTGTGGCAGGAGTATGCAGAGCTGGGAGGCTGTGGGCAAATTACCTGCCCTCCTTGAATGTCAGTATCCTCATCTGTAAACTGGGACATTAATAACGCCTGCTTCAGGGGGTTAAAAATCCATTCTTGTGTTCAGTAAATACTCTCGAGTGCCTTCTGTGCTGAGCACTGGAATACAGTGGAGAACACAGTAGACCAAAGTCTGTGTGCTCCTGAGGCTCACATTCCACAGTGGGACATGGGTGGAGAGATAATCGACTAATAAAGGAAGGAGGAATGGCACGTCAGTGGGGACTGGGTGCCGTGGGGATGCTGGAGTGGGTCATGATAGAGTGACCTTTGAGCAGAAATCTGGTGGAGAGAGGGAGGTGTAGCCTTGTGGATTTCTGGGTGAATAAACATTCAGTGAATCTGCTATTGAGCAGGTGCTTATTGTGGATTTTCATCCCATTTGAGTGTGTTTGTTTCCCCAAAGCTGGGCATGACCAGAAAAATAGAAGTGGCTGCAACATACCCACAAACACAAACCCTCCCTTTTCTGGCTCCAAGTAAAAGGGAAAGAGAAAGGGGAATGGGTCAGAGAGAGCCCTGCTGCTTACTGGCCCCTGCCATGTGCCAGACACTATACTAAGCATGTTTGCAAACATCAGAAACCACTATCTCGTTGTACAGATGAGGAAACCAAGGGTCTGCAGTAAGTTAACGGGAGCCATTATTCTTTAATGGTTGATTGTGGGCTTTGAGGTGAGACTGTCAGGCTTCTAATCCCATCCCTGTCACTTACTAGCTGGGTGACATCAGGCAAGCTTCTTTGCTTCCCGGAATACCAATTTCCTCATCTGTGAAAATGAGGACGATAAGAATACTCATCTCAGAGCAGTGTGTGAGCAGCAGATGAGATCACTGACTTCAAGTCTCCAGCATTGAGTAGATGCTGGAGAAGTATTAGGTGCTCTTGTAATGGTGGTGGTGGTTCTAGCTGGCACAGCTGGGAGTGCAGAATCCTGCCTGCTGCACCAGGCAGCCAGTTGGAAACCCTGTCTCTGCATGGTTTCATTTCTGAACCATCTGCTCTGTAGGAGGGACTTTTCTTCCTTTCTTTTCTAAACAATGACTTATGTTGAGGCTGCACAGAGCCCACTGAACATCTAGATCATCTGTTAAAGGGGCCAAGGACCAGGAACTCTCTAGGTACCAGGAGTCTGGGCCACCAGCTGTGGGGTTGGTAATGCATCTAGGTGACCCCTTTGGGAATCATGCCAAGACTCTCCCTACATACTTCGTTGATGAAGCCTGGATGTGTCTTAGATGCTTAGAGATGGGGCTGAGGTGCCCTTTCCTCTTGCCCTTGAGGTGGAACCCAGTGTGGGGCAGGAAGTGTCAAGGGTGTTTGGACCTGTTGCCTCTTGCTGCATGACTAAATAACACCTCAGCAGTTTGCTTTGCAGTTAACTAACATCACAGGATTCTGAGTTTCCTGGGGCCTTGGGGCTTGGAAACTGATAGAAAGCTGTGGAACCAGACCCCAGAAAGATGCACGTATGCACATAGTTTTCAGTGTAATCCCAAGATGTTCATGGACTCCTAGAATACCCCAGGTTAAGAATCCCTAATTTAATACAACTGCCTTATTCTACAGATGAAGGAACTATGGCTCAGAAAGGTGCAATGACTTGTCCTAAGTTACATATTAATTGTAGGTCTCTCTATAGGCTGTTTCCCCTGTGACCATGTGACCAAAGAGAAAGAAGTGTAGGAACAGGAGAAGCCATGGACTTTTCCACTGTAGTGGTAAAGCCCTGAAATAGGAAATTTGAGTCAGATATAAGGATGGACTTCCCAGACAGTTTTAGATGTTGGAATAAGGTACAGTGATTCATGCAACCAATATTCAGAGTGCCTGCTAGGTGTCATACCTCATTCTAGGTACTGGAAATCCATCAAGATCTAGAGTCTGGGAAACAGACAATTCCTGCCCTTGTTAGAGCTTGTATTCTAGTTGGCAAAGATAATGCCAAGTCAACAATAAAAATATACAGTAAGTCAGATGATGGTAAGCACTAAGGAGGAAAAAATAAAGCTGGGAAGGAGGATAGGGAGGGGAAAGGTGAGTGTTGGGCTGCAGTTATGAATAGTATGGTCAAGGACAGCATCATTAAGGTGAAAAGTGCCAGATCCTCTAGGAGGTACAGAGTAAAGCCTGAGAGCTACCTAGGAGATAAGAAGGTACAGGGCACCAAGAAGGATCCTAATAATGGGGTACATTTTTGCATGTCAGTGTTAAATACATATTTGCTTAGGAGTGTTTATCAGAGAGCTGGGCAGTTATAGAGTAGCACTTTATAGACTATAAAGATTTTCACATAGAGCATTTCAACCAACCCTGTTGGAGTTTGGTGCAAGGCCACACACAGCCATTAATGGCCCAGGTGAAACTGGTCCCAGGGCTCCAGCCTGCTGAGCACGGGGCAGGTGGGCTCCGGCATGGAGGCCGCAGGATGGGCTCCAAGGCATCCTCTCATCCACAGGTCAGGTACAGTGCGGACAGGTGCACTGCCGGCTGCCTTACACCGCACCCCCCGTCCACCTCAAAGCCGACATGGATGGGCCACTCTCCAACCGGGGTGAGAAGGTAAATGGAGCCAGATTGGGTGTGGTGGGTAAGAGCCTTCCTGCCCAAGGATGGGCTTCTGGCAGGCAATGTGCTGCCCTGTGGCAGACCCCTCTGCCCAGCATGTTTCAGCCCCCACCGTGCTCCCAAGGCAGTGGCTTGAGCAGCGTGGTCTATGTACAGGGGCCACTTCAAAGCCTCCCTATAGGCCCCACCCTCACCTTCTCCCCAGTAGTTGGCCTTCTTTTTTTCAGATTTGTGAATTTAGTTGCTTTGCTCTCCTTTTGTGGTTTCAAGTAAGGCTTACATCCCACACCACCCTGCAGCCTAGCCTGTCACCTATTCCTCTCCCTTCCTGATTTTCATCCCTGTCTGTTGAGTGAATACCCCTATCTGATGGGGCCCTGGGATAGCAGGTGAGCAGGTGACCTTGATCAACTGGCAGGGTCTCCTTTGTGGAAGCGGGATCTCTGGCTATCTCAGACATCAGAACTGAACAACCAGAAGGGTGCTTAGACACACACTCCCCCATGCCACCGGCTTGAAAGCTTTGTGTTAAAGCACTGGCCCTTTTAAAACATTTTTTTTTTCCGTAACCCATAAAACATAAAAGTAGTTAGAACTGCTCCAGGTGAAATCACAGAGTGGGTAGGACCCACTCCCACTTGGCTCCCTCTCGGTGCCAAGACACCTTTCAGTTAGCCTTGCAGACCTCTGTCCTAGGAGGACCCTCTGTTTTAGGAGCGGAGAAATTGAGGCACAGTTTGCGCTAGGTCCCAGAGCCTGTATGGGAACCCATGTACGTCCTAATTTATTCAGCGGACATTTGCTATGTACTGACTTTGCTGAGCAGCCCCGAGTCAGTTGCCAGGAACATAGGGATGAGGAAAGAAGGGTTCTTGCTCTGTAGGGGCCACAGTCTGAAGGAGGAAACACAATACAATCACAACACAGTGGGATCAAACTGACAGAGGAGCCCAGGGAGCTGGAGAGTCAGGGTGCACAGCTCAGGAGAAACCAAAGAGGACTTTCTAGAGGAGGGCACTGTCTGCGCACATGCCTCATGGCTGAATCAGAGATTGTCAGGGAAAGTGTGAGCCACATTGGATCTCAGAGAACCCTGATCAGTTCAACACTGCTGGCACGCAGGCTTGGGAGGAACAGCGAGGGGGGGAGCTCAGGTGGAGGAGTCTGGACTTTGTCCTGGGGCAGCTGGGAGGCCCTGGAGGCCTCTTTTGTATTTTATTTTATTTATTTTTAAGGATTTTATTTTTTAAGTACTCTCTACACCCAGTATGGGGCTTGAATTCACAACCCTGAGATCAAGAGTCTCCTCTTTTACCAACTGAGCCAGCTAGGTGCCCTTATTCTATTCTATTCTGTTCTATTCTAATTTTTCTAGTTTTATCGAATGGAGGCCTCTTTTAGAATAATCGCTGTAGCAGTCCTCAGAGACGCAGGGAGCCCCCAGGAGTGAGCAGGTGTAGTGGGCCAGGAAGATTGGGCCAGTTCTTCCCAGCTGGAAGGGCCTCCAGGGAACTTCCAGGCCAGCAGCGCACAGTTTTGGCATGCCTCAGAATCACCTGGGAAGCTTGTAAAGAAGCAGATTCCCCAGCCTTACCCCTAGAGAGTCTGCTGGGGAGGCTTGGGGTGGGGGCCACTCCCATAGGATACCTCTGCTTACCCTGAATGAGCACCTGCTGTGTGCCAGGCTCTGCAGGGTGCTGTGGGGCAGGTATATGGTGCAGACAACCGAGTTGGACAGATGGATTTCTAAGTAAGCCGTAGTGTGCCATACAAAATCCCACAGACCTGGTGGTGGGTGAGCATGCCCCAGGAACACCCAACAAGATTGTCCTGCTTAGAGCTAGAGCTGCTGGTGCTCCAGCAACTCATCCATTCACAGCAGGTGCTTTACACAATTTGTCCGATTGATGCCTTCCAAGCACTTTGTGGGTGTGGGGATGGCCGTTCTCATGGTAAAGACAAGGGAACTGAAGCTCAGAGAGGTGATGTGACTTGTGCAGTGATGCTGCCTGTCTGTTGGGCTCTGAAGTTCCAACAGGCCACTCATCACTTCCTTTCGGAGCACTTTATAGTTGACACTGTGCTCTCTCTGACTTCACCCTTCACAGCCTCACTAGGAAGGTGATTCTTTTTTTTAAAGATTGTATTTATTTATTCATGAGAGAGAGAGAGAGAGAGAGAGAGAGAGAGAGAGAGGCAGAAACACAGGCAGAGGGAGAAGCAAGGCTCCATGTAGGAAGCCAGATGTGGGACTTGATCCTGGGACTCTGAGATCACACTTCGAGCTGAACCACTAAGCCACCTAGGTGTCCCTGGGAGGGTGATTCTGATTGGCTCCAAGTCACACATACAGAAACCTGGGCTCAGAGCAGCAGCTCACCAGCATCACACAGTGAGTGGGGGTAGAGCTGGCCTCCACCTTGAGACCGCCCATCTCGGAGCTGCCACTTGTCCCGTCAGACCAGCACAGGGACCGCACAGGCAAGCTGGCATCATCCCTGTCCTCAGGGAGCATGTGAATTAGAGCAGGAGGTGAGCAGGGTGACAGAGCAGGTGAGCTGAGGGATGAAAGTGGCCTTTGAGGACCCAGAAGAGGGGGTAATGAGCTCCAAGAGAGAAGCAAGGAATGGGAAGATGGGTGTTCCATGTCAAGAGAAGAGTGATGCAAAGGTACACAGGCAAGAGGAGTCTGGGTGTGAGGGACCACAGGGCGATTAGTGTGACTGAGGCCCAAGGAAGTGACAGGGGTCACAAAGGAGGGAGGGAGCCAGGGCTTCAGGCTTTATCTGAAGGGCAGAGGGGAGCCTCAGAAATGTTTAGGGCTGGGCTCTGCTCTTGGAGCTGAGCCTTGTCTCCTAGTTACTCAGCAAGGCTTGTGGTTATGTCTGGTTCAGTTATGTCTGGTTCAGTCTGAAGGATGAGCCAGTCTCGGGTCTGGCAGCTTTTGCTCTAGAGGTTTCTGGCCCCTGGGTTTGGCTGCCTCACCAGAGTTTTTCTCTTGCTGGGCAACTTCACATCCAGCAGTCTCCAACTTCACATCCAGCAGCTCTACAAAAAAATGTCTCTCCCTCCTTCATGACCTCCCAGTTTCTCACTGTCACTCCTTCCTGCCAGCTCCTGGGGACCTTTTCTGTCCACTTCTTGCCAAACCCACAAGGATGGCCTGGTGGGTTGTGTGTGATCAGCGCAAGACTGTGCGTACTTTCTCCCAAATCCCTCCAGGCCTGACTGGCCCAGCTGTAAGGAGACACAGTAATCCCTGGGCAGGCTCCTGAACCCACTCAAGACCAGGACTGGTCTGGCCAGTAGGACAGAGCTCTGAGCATTTGCAGGGAGCACCCCCTGCCTCCACCACATCATCATTTGGCCACACCTGCTTGAATGTTTCCGGAACCACCTTTCTTCTTGGCCATATCCTCTGATTCCACAATTTCAGAAGTTGGAAAGCTCTTAGAAACCAGGGCCATACTGTCATTGATCAGACGGAGAGACTGAGGCCTACAGAGGGTAGGGTCTTACCAGAGTTTTATCTCTTTTGAGGAAGCTTCTCTTGATAAGAGCCCAAAGTCAGGCATCCCAGAGGTCAGAGAAGAGCATTGGCCAATGTTGGGTGAGACAGCGTGGTGTCAGCCCTGGAGTCGGGCAGACTCTGAATTCCAGCTCTGCCACTGTCTCACTGTGAGACCTGGGAACACAGTCCACTTCTCTGAGCCTCCATTCCCACCCCCACAAAACGAGATAGTAACTGTTGCCACCACCTAAGGTTGTTGCCAAGAGTAAATGCAATAATGATTGGAAGGCATGTAGCATGGTGCGTAGTACACGGAGTGTGCTCCATAGATGTTGGTTACCATGATTGTGCTTAGGGAGATCATCACCTATGCTCGCCTCCAGCTCCTCCTCATAGTAACCAATCTGGGCAAGGAATATTCCTGATCAGAAAATGAAACAGCCATATGGCCATGCCCACTGGATGTCCCTGGACCCCTTGCAAGTGCCTCCTGATGTATTACTGGGACAAGTCACCTCCCATTGACCGGCCAGCCAGTCATCCTGTGTGGGTGGCAATGAGAAGTCAGCCCGTTGCTTTAGGTAGAAGAGGGTGAGGGAAAGGGGCAGACGGTTCCTGATTACCCACTGTGTGTCTGGTACCTGGCTGCCTTCTGGCTTTATGAAGATCAAGTGAAGTGCTGGGCCCATTGCCCAGGGTATAGTAAGCATCCATGACTACTGTCTTTGTGGCCTTGCAGCAGTAGAGGCAATGGGTAACAACAAAGAGAGCTTGGCCTGGGGCCCGGCCTGGGTCCACCGCTTCCCAGCTGTGTGATCACGGGGCCTACTGACTTTCACCTCTCTGGGCCTCAGTGCCCTCCCTCCCTGTAGAACAAACATAACGGCAGGACACACTGATGGGGCCGAGGCTTCTGTTCCGTAACGTAAGTAAGGCACTTTACGCAGTGCTGGGCACAGGGAATGGTGCAGTGGACATGTCCTGCTGCTCCTGTATCTCACTGAATCCTCACCATTTTGAGAGAGAGGTTTTGTCAATCCCATTTTACAGATGAGGAAACGGGCTCAGAGAGGCACAGTAAGTTGCACAAGGTCTCATTGCAAGTAAGTGACAGAGCTAGGATTTGAACCCAGATCTGGGCCCCAAGTGGTCCTCATTCTTCATGCCTTCGAGGACCTGGAGGGGGGAGCACTGCCAGGCGTGGCAGGCCCCCAACTCAGCCACCTCCTATGCCCTCCTCTTGCAGGTCATCCTTTTTCAGTACTAATGCTGTCTGTCCACGGGCACCCCACCACTGCCCCACAGCCGCCGAAAGCTGGTGTCCAAGCCACTGCCAGGGATCCACCCGCGCCACATCCGCCCCTCACCCGCTGTCCTGATCGCCTCTGGCTGGACCCCTGGGCCTGGCCTTCCCTTCTCCTGCTGAGAACCAGAACCTGCCAAGGCACCACGGAGTCCTCCTCTCAGAAGGCAGAGCTCCCTGAAATTTGGAATCAGGGTGAAAAACAACGGCCTGTTTTTCCATTTAGACAGGAGTCATCTTCAACTTAAGCTGATTACAATAGCAAAAGGCCAAAGGCCAAATTGAATCATGCAGCGCCAACAGCCTTCTAATTTACAGGTTTTCTTTCTTCCCATCCTGGCCTTTATTTACTTCTTCCTTGCAACCATCTCTGAATTCCGAATAGCCGACAACCCCCAATGTTATCCACTCTGTTGCTTTTGTCTGGAAAACTCTACAGTGTTTGTGGGATGTCCCCAAAGGAAAGCTATGTTCTAATTTTATCATTTCCATCTGTCTGGTTATGTCAAGTTAATTCAGAGAGAGAAGAGACACTGACCAACCCTGAGAGGCCCAACAGGGCAGAGATGGAGGCCGGTCCAGACCAAGAGGCAGGGGGATAGGCAGGGGCTGGGAGGGGGGTGGCCAGGACTCCCACTGGAGAACGACGTAGCATGTTGGGTGTGGGAGGCACTAACTATTTTAAGGATAGAGAAGAGAAAACTCGGGGCATATATGGGGAGACTCTGTTCCTACCTAGTTATCTGGCATCCATACAGGACAGCTGGCAGAAATGTTATTTGATATGTATGAGGGCATTTCTGAATGCTTGTGCGGGTTAGAGTCAGGGGCCCTTGTTGGCTACTTGTTGACTCCTGATGGGGGCACTTGGGCTTCCTTGGAGGGAGGGGCCCTTCATGGGGGGAGCTGGGGAAATGGAGCCCGGGGACATGGTGGTAAGAATGCTAATTCTGGACCCATTTCTGAGTAGAGAGAAGGTGCTTGCTGCCTAGGTGAACCTGCTGAGCCCAGAATTGCAGGGGGCACTGGTGGGCTTCCCCAGTACCCCTGTGCAGAGCCAGCCCCTTCCCCCACTCGGAAATGTGGAGGCCAGACACAGCTGTGCTCACGACCACCCTATTCTGCTGCAACTCTTCCACCCCAAACAAAAGGGCTTGGGCTGCACAAGACCATGATTTATGTTTTCAGGAGACGCCCATTTGTCCCAAGCTTATCCTGTAATTTCAGAATTACTTAGTGTCCTGATGCATTACCTATTAGAGGCTGCTAGTAAGCATGTTCTAGCCCAAGTCCTCCCTCCTGCTTTGGTTAACCCGATACATTGCTTTTGGAAGGAGACTCTAGGACCGGGAAAGCATGTTCATGGCACATACGTATCTGCTGTCCCTGCTTTTGCCCATGGTGGACACCGCTGATTGATTGCATCACTCTCAGAGTCTGGATAAGGTTTCGGAATCCAAATGCCTCAAGTTGGCCCTTAAAACGAATACCTACATGCCTTTCTTGCTCTGGGACCTGGAGGAGGGTAAGGCACAGGTGTAGCCTGAGAAGGGAACTTGCTTCCTTTCCCTTCCAAAGACAGTTCCATGGAACTCAGAGCCAAGCGAAGGTAGCACCGGAATGCAGTCAGCACAGCCCTGTTCATCCCCTGAATAGTTGATACCTGGCACTGCACAGGATGCTGATGTTAGCAAGAGAAGCTTGGGCCTGATCCCTGGTGAGTGGGGAGCTCTCGTGTTTCCTTTGATTTTTGCTCCTGGTGATAGAAGCCCTGAGCACAGCCATGTGGTAAGTGGCCAGCCAAGCCCTGCCCAGGGTCACCTAGTTCCCACTCTGCCTTGAGCCTCCCGCCTGGAGGTCTGTTCCTTGCGTGGATCATGTGGTTGTAGCATGTTGCCATTCAGACATGTCTCCACTAGCCTGTTAGAGCAGCCTGGGAACGCACAGGCCACCAAGACTATTTATTTAAATATAAAACAGAGGGAGAAACACACACACATGGAAAAAAAATTGTAAGCACTTTTTTGGTAAAACCAATGTCTGTTTTGTTACATACCTTTCATGTTGTGCTTTGTAAATGTCCTATTTGTGTAATAAATAAAGTTAATGCAAGTAGAAGTGCTGGCACTTAAATCCAGAACCTGATGGGATTCTGTTTCTTTCCTGCTCTCTGGTTAAGGGCTCAGGCCCCTGGCCTGTAGACAAGTGCTTCCTGGACAATCGGTGCTATTTCCCAGTTAGTCAACTGTGCTGCAAAGGCATGACGGTGAGTTTCTTCTCCAGTCTAAGCTTTGTGGGCAGTCAGGTTGGCCTCCTCCATGTCACTCCCAAACAAATGCTTTTTGCCGGGCCCTATGCTGGCTCTGCAGACATGGTGACGGGCCTAGCCCACCAGCCCTAGAGGAGCTCGCATTCTGGCCAATGCTCTAACAGACGGATCCGTCCAACAGGCTGTGGGGGCTGGGATGTTGAGCCAGATCCTATCAACTGAGAGGACAGTATAGGTGCAAAAGAGGAGATGCTGGGGGACTAGGGAAGGAAGCACAGAGGAGCCTGTTTGGAAGATGCAGGAGAATTCCGTCCAGTGAAGTGAAGGGAATATGGGATGGGAGCCAGGGAGCCAGGAGACGAGGCTTCTGCTTTCACACCAGTCTGGGTCTCATACTGGGCCTTACTGGGTTCCAGAGCCACCATAGAATCTGGGGAGTGAGAGAGAACATCTTTCTGCTCATTGGCAACTTTTCTTTTAGTAGCAGAATTGGTGATTAAAGCCAAAGCTCTTGAGGAGGGGAGTGGAGTGGCCAGAGTTGCTCAGAAACCTCAGCTCAGAATGTACATCATCCTCACCCCTGCAAGGCCCCTGTCTGGATTAGCTGTTTCATCTGCCATCTCTGATCCCGTCTCTGCCGCTCCTCCCTCCATTCTTCCGATCTACTTATCAAATGTTGATTTAGATATATGTATATCTTTTTGTAAAAGATTTATTTATTCATGAGAGACAGACAGAGAGAAAGAGGCAGAGACATAGGCAGAGGGAGAAGCAGGCTCCTCACAGGAAGCCCAATGTGGGGATCACGCCCTGAGCCTAAGGCAGATGCTCAACTGTTGAGCCACCCAGGTGCCCCTAGATATATGTGTATATCTCAAATATAGTTTAAATTATGTGTATGTGCTTCTTTACATGAATGTGCCTTCTGTTTCTAAAGCACAGCTTGGAAACCCCTATGAAGCTCAACCCTGTTATTCTGCAGAGGTGACTGTTGCCCTAGAAGGGAGAGGTAACCCTCCAGGATCCCTCTGTGGCACAGCTGAGTGTGCGCAGACCACCCTCTGACTCCTAACTCTGCCTAGCATGCCAACTCTGGGTCACTGGTGTGAAAGCCACTTTCCTTCCCCCCGCCCTCCCACTACAGACCTTGTCAGAACCTTCATAGACCTGCCTTCTCTTTTTTTTTTTTTTAAATAAGGGGAATCTTTTTATTTTTATTTATTTATTTATTTAATGATAGTCACACACACACAGAGAGAGAGAGAGGCAGAGACACAGGCAGAGGGAGAAGCAGGCTCCATGCACCGGGAGCCCGACATGGGATTCGATCCGGGGTCTCCAGGATCGCGCCCTGGGCCAAAGGCAGGCGCCAAACCGCTGCGTCACCCAGGGATCCCAGACCTGCCTTCTCCTGGCAGCTCTTGGTGAGCAAGGGAGAAAACATGGGGTGGGTGGGGCTGGGCTGGGCTGTGGGATCTGGCAACCTCTAAGGAAGGACAGCTATGCAAAGATCCCGGATGCCTGTGGCCAAAGTGTTGTCCTGGAACATGTCATCCCTTCTCTTCTGGTTTTCTGCTGACATGTGATTTTGGGGTGGTGTTGAGGAACACCTGGGAAATAAAAATGTATCAGGAAGTGGCAGCCAGGAATGCACACTGCTAGACTCCATTCCCAGAGATTCTGATTAGCATGTCTAAGGTGGGGCCCAGAAATAATCTAATTTATAATTTTGCTCAGGTGATTTTGATGCTGGTGAAATGAGGATCCCCTAAGAAATTGTCTCAGGAAAGTACACTTGGGGCCACTGAAAGCTGCAGAAAGACTTTATTCCTGAGTTAAAAGTCAGGATCTGGAAGTTTAGACTGCCCTCAGGGCCAGCTGCTGCCAGCAGTGTAGAGAAAACTCTGGTGGAGGTGATAGCAAAGCTCACAGCTTCGGTCGGTGACCCACAATCTCGTCCCAGCCCTTGCGACACGTCCTGATGATCCACTCATGCTCGTCATCATCTGCAGGGGAAGAGGAAGAGCTGATCATGCTTGGTGTTCGCCGGGCCTTCTCTGGGCTGGGAGATCGGCAGGTGGGGTCCAGGGCCTGGGGTGCCTTCCAGCACAGGGGTGTGGCCTCAGTGGCCAGTCAAGCTCTGTGTTGGGAAGGAACCCACTTTTGCTGAACCCCAATCCTTTGGTTGCCTGGGCTTGGGGAAATTGAACACAGTGGGGTGTATAGATGGCAGATATCACTGAGGGAGGCAGGCATGAGGTCACCTGGCCATTCTGAGCTGGGCTCGGGCTCCCAGAGAGCAGCTTGCTCGGGCCTTAGCTCTCTCTGCTCCCCACAAAGGGTACCCCAGGACAGCCAGCCCAGGCCTTGCTGGTCGTGCCAGGAGCCAGAGCCTTCAGGTCTTCTTCGTTTCCTTTCTGGGTTTTCCACTGTAGACCCTTATAAGAACCCATGGCTCTGCAGGGGAACCTGACTCCCCCGTAGACTCAGGTCCTTTTAGTGGGGAATAGAGAGGAGTTGCAGATACTTCTGTAGGCCCCGTGCTTCTTTAGCTTCCTTAATTTAACCCTCATGAGCACCTGCCGGCAGCAATCCCACCATTGTACAGATGAACAGGCAGGCTCGGAGAGATCAAGTCACCTGTCCACAGCCACAGGTTAGTAGGTAGGAGCGCCTAGAATGTGACCCCTGGTTTGTCTGAGTACAAAGCTTGTACTGGTTTTTAAGCCTTAGAGAGAGGGAATGGAGCACAGTCTTTAGGCCCCCCACACCACAATCATCTCTCTGGGCCAGGGAAGGCTCATCTGGGGGCTGACTTATTTTCCTCCATTATCCCCCAAACCCATACCCAGGCCCTCCCCTAACTCTGGCAGAGACCCACTTTAATGGTGGGATACATACCCCTAAAAATGCAGGCAGCTCTGTAAAATGTGTGCTGTTGTTTTGTGTGCAAATGTGCTTTTAATTTACCACCATAAATGGCATTGTACTATGAATTTCATTGTGTCTTACTTTTTTCACTCAACACTACATTTTCAAGATCTATTTTTGTTGCTAAATGCACATCTAGTTCTTTGCTTCTTACTGCCGCCTAATACTTGGTGGTGGCTTCTGAGATGTTCTCCTCCCCATCGGGGATGGGTGGAGTGGGGAGGGTGGACATCCAAGGGGGCCACCTCCCCTGACCAGAAGTTCTGCTGGGACCAACATTCTTGGGCATACCCCTTCATGAACTCATGAAGGAGGGTCGTGGAGTCATGAACGCACTTCATTAACCAAGACTCCCAGCTGAGCCCAAGTTCCCTTCATCACACCACCGTAGCAGGCCCTGCCTCGTTCCTGCTTCACTTCACCGCCATTCGTGTCAGGCCCTGGGGACAAAGAGAACTAGCCCAAGCCCCTGCCCTGGAGCGGCTCTCCTCCTGTCTCCTGACCTGCCTCCCGTCTAACGGATGGGAGACAGGCCTACCCATCCTCCTTGTAAACAAAAAGCAGTAGCCAGGGAACCAATGCACCCCCTGAGAGCTAGGCTGAATCCTGCCCTCAAATCAGCCCCCCCCCGCCCCCTTCCCCTTCTACGAAAGCTCTAGGCCCAGAATCAGAGGTGGAGACTTCTTGACAACCTACTGTGTGCCCCATGCTTTACTGTCTGTGTGACAGTCCAGGAGAGGGGGAGATCACCCCCATTTTAGACAAGTAATGAGCCTTGCCCCACCTCCACAGCCCCCCCCCCAATTCAAACCAAGGCCCATCAGACTCCAAAGCCTGACCATCCCCCCAGGGCTGATGCGACCAGAGTGCTGGAAGGCAGGCCGCCCCCACAGAGCTAGTGTCCTCTGCCTCCTCCCCACTGTTTCTTTGTCCATAACCTAAAGGAAAGAGGCTTGCTGCCCAGCATGCTCTTGCCCTTGAGGACTGCCGGGAATCCACGCGTGGCTGTCAAGCCCTGGGGGTGGGGACAGCAGCGGCACACAAGGAGTTAAGCGCTGGTGAAGCCCACTTTTGCCACACCGCAAGCAGCCTGGTTGATAATTACAGTTTTGAAGTCTCTGGGCTATTCGAATCTGTGCAGCTGCAAGCTCTTCAGTGCTAACCCCTGAAACCAGACAAACTGAGTTTATTGTGCTAAACCAGCCCTCGGGCCCCTCCCTGATCGTTACAAATTGACAGCAATGGACTTAACAGCCTCTTCACTACCCCTCTCGCACTCTACCTGGCGGCACAGCCACCAATTTGAATCACAGATGCCTCCCCTCCAGGCAGCTGCTCACCAACCCTCCCTCCACCTCCTCTGCGCTGCTCCGCTGCTCCCCGAGGCTCCCGTGGCCCCTCCACGCCAGGGTGAGGCTGCCGAAGCACATTTCATCAATATTTAAAATGGAATTAAACCTGCAGCTTTGATTAATGCCTCCCAGATTCTGGGAGTTGTGATTACTATTTTGCAAATTGCAATTGTTGGAATATGTTAATATGATTGTCTGAGAACATCTTCACCTTCTTAGATAATTTTCCCCCTTTTTGTCAGGAGGGGAGGGGAGGGGAGGAGAGAGGAAAGGGGGAAAAGATGGGGGGGGAACACCCCGGCAAACTCTTTAATCAATTGTAAATTATTACCCTGGGCGCAGTTGCCGGTGGTTCAGAGGGGAAGGGGAGGGAGGGAGATTTCTGGTTTGGTGCATTTATCTTGAAAAGTTTTGGTCTTGTTGGCTCATAATTCCGCTCTGGGACGCTGTCCTAAGGGAATAATCTATTTGTCTCACTATTATTTAGAACCAAGGAAACTGAAATAATCTATGTTTCTAAAACAAGAGAATGATTACTGTTGTATATTCATATAACAATTAATTTCTAAACGGGGACCATGGGCCAGGTATTGTACTAAGCTTTATGACAGAGTGGGGGTGGGAGGACAATGGGATTTAGCAGTTCTTGAAAAAGTAGGGCTATGAAGTCTGTATAGCAACACAGAAATGTTTTTGATTTGACAAAAAAGGTGGGAAGAGGCAAGAAACAAAATTACATAATATAATCTGTAAACACTGTGCTCAGGAGAAAAATTGTAAAATAACACATTGAATGTGAATAATATGCATCTCCCAGCAGTGGAACGTGAGAGGTTCTTCTGCTTTGGGTATTTCCCAAATCTTCTTAATGTGTATTGGCAATAGAAAAAATGAAAAACAATTATCTTTTTTTTTTCCTACCCTCCAACTTAATGCTTTGTTAATTTCATGTATTTTTGGTCATTGGAAGAAAAATATTTCTCGGTTCCTAGAGACACCAATGGGGTTCTTTAATTTCTACAAAGTAAAAGAGCCAGCATTAAAATATTGGTTAAAAAATGGGAGAATAGGATCCCTGGGTGGCGCAGTGGTTTGGCGCCTGCCTTTGGCCCAGGGCACGATCCTGGAGACCCGGGATCGGGTCCCACGTCGGGCTCCCGGTGCATGGAGCCTGCTTCTCCCTCTGCCTGTGTCTCTGCCTCTCTCTCTCTCTCTCTCTCTGTGACTATCATAAATAAATAGAAATTTAAAAAAAAAATGGGAGAATAGACCAATGTCCTGAGCAGAAGAAATCCAAATAATTTCTGTGAATACTCTGCCCTCAGGGAGGTGGAGCATAATTCCCCCTTCTTGGGTGTGGGCCGCAGAGTGACTGCCTCTCCATCAGGACAGTTTAGGAAGGGAGCAAAACACAGCAACAAAAAATAGTAGCTTTGGCTTGCCTTAATCACCATCAGCACTCTTTCCCTGAGAACTGATTTCTTGGCAACCAGTGCACAGCTCAAACATCACTTTCTTGGGGATCTCAGTCTGCCTGTAACCCCTCTTCATGTTCTCTTCTTCCTAGCACAGGCTTCTTTCTGTAATTGTCTTGTTTATTCCTGGATTGTCAGTCTCTCCCATCCAAACTGTAAGCTCCAGTGAGACCAGGAGCCTCATTGGCTTGTTCAGTGGTATCACTGGTGCTTAGACAAGTGTGTGGCATCAGAGGTGCTTAGTCCCTATCTGCTCAGTGAATGAAGGAATGAGTGGATCATCCAGTCCTATGGCCCACCACTCTCCCAGTGCTAGGGGAGGGGTAGTGGGCAGAGAGGGTAGACAGAGACCTAGCAGGGGGTGTTTGCCCAGAGGCTTGACTCAGATACACTTCAGGTTCAGGTCTGTTTGCCTTTGGGCCAGAAAGATTTCTTTATTCTGGTCTGAAGCTTTAGAAGTGACCTCACTGCCGCATGCAACTCCCTCTCCACCATGTCACCCCCAGGAATCTCACCAATCACTAGGAGAACTTGGGCTCCTTATAGAGAAGAAAATGAGCTTTCGGGGAGAGATAGACCCCAAATCTGACCGTGAACGTTCCTACTGAGAAGCCTTGCCTGGAAAGGGTCCCCACTCTTTCCCCTGGACCCCAAGGCCCTCCATCCAGGTCTTTCTGATCTCCAAACTGCCTCTGACCTTGGGCCACCCTGGAAAATGCAGCCAACCTGCTGTACTGTAGTCACCATGTGTGCATGCATACTGGGGCCTCTCCGCCTGTCCATATACCAGGCTGGGGGCAGGGACAGGGCCTCTCAGAACACTCCCCATTTCGGGGCCTTAGTGTATATAAAAGTGAGGAAAGGCCTAGATGAGAGTATAACAATCGCAGTGTGGTTTAAACACGTATAATTAACAAATGCTTTCCACATTTGTTACACAACCCAATGCAATATAAATGTGTTATTCCAGGCTGTCATTCAAGGCGGCGTTAAGCCCACAGCACAGCTAATGGTCGAGTTCTCAGGAAGGGGCTGTGAGGTTGGTGTTGTCTGGTGAACATGGTCTTTCAGTGCCGCCATACTCCGGACTCAAGGCCACTGGCAAATGTGTATGGCTGAGCCCAGTGCCCTCCTGGATGTCCTCCGCCCCCCAGGCCCTGCCTGGATGTCACCTTCCCTGACTCAAGCTGAGGTCATGGTTGCCCCCACCAGCCTCCAGCAGGTGTGACTAACGTACTCCTGGTCCTC